TGTCTTACTTTTTAAGTAAGAGGATTAAAGAATAACTGCGAACCATTTATTTCATTACATCTCTTTCATCGTCATGAAGCTGCTTGGGGAAGGTGGATAAAAATTTCCCCTGTACATCCTGACAGCACTGACACAGGATGAAGAGTTTCCCAGTAATTCAGAGTGAATTCCGAGTGTAGAAGTTGAAACCAAGTTTTGTGCACTCAGATTCTGAGCAGCCCAGACAAGGAATTTCTGGAGCTGAGGCACTGTAGAGTGTCTTGGCAATGTGGTGCTTCCTCTTGCACAGAGTTTACTGGGGGAATGTTATGCAGCCTCTCATTCTTTGAATTAAAATTCACCAATGTGCAAATGTAGTTATGTCCTATTTTGAGAGCTTTAGTTCAAAGTGAGATGTGTAGGCTTCAAGTGAGCTGCTGATCCCCTGCTGATAGTGGGATTCAATACTCTTGAGTGTGTCTTCTTACAGCATATATGTGTTCTTTTCTCTTACTGTCCCAAAAGTATTCGGGTAGATAAAGTCTTACTGAAATGTCAGTCTGAAACATCTGGAAGCATTGAAATCAAATTGCTGATTGAATGTCTCTCTCTGGTCTTAATGTTGATCAAGTATAATATTTCACACAATGTGAAAATCTGAAAAGTGCACCTAATGCAGTACACCTTTAGTGGCAAAGAATTTGATGTGGCTGTCATGACTCATTCCGTGCTTTGGAAAGGTTTTTTTAAGAGCAAAGGTTATGTTTTTTCTAAACAAAAACATAATTTTCTCATATGACATTTTTCTAAACAAAAACATTTTCTCATATGACAGGTGAAGAGTTAGGAATCTGTTTCAGTACTTACAAACCTGAGTACTTAAAACTCTACTGGGAACATGCAACACACCAGTTCACAGAATTTTCCTCTAATTTGACAATTAAGAACCCTGTTATCACTTTGAAATCTTTAGCATTTTCTATGCTAAACTGTTAATAAGTAAAACACTTAGACTAACAAATACATTTAGCTTAGTGAAATTTTCATGCATTTTTAGTCATCCACAAAACCAAAGAAGATCTGGTGTAGGTTTGCTTGTTGTTTGGCTTCCCCACTTGTTGGGGTGCTGTGTCTGCTGAATTCTCAGTGCCCAGGAAAATAAGGCTTATGTGTGGTGATGTTGTCTGTGTCCATGTCCTTTTAATTCTCATTTTGCTGTTACTTTTGAATTCAAGCCCTTTTCAGACAATGTTAATGGAGGGGGGGTACAGAGGGGGAATAATCCCACAAATTGTTTTCCATAGGCTGTTTCCTATAACTGGCATTATTGTTTTAATCAACAAGCAGTGTGGTAGAGGAGAAGCAGGGAAAGACAATAGTATGAGATTTGATTGTCCTGAACAGCAGACAATCCACATGAAAGACTAAATATTTGAATTTGTTAATCATGGGAAAAGTTTCGGTAGGGTGGGAAAACAATTTTTACTAAAGACTGCAAGCCTGAGAGACAGACCCATTGAAAACCACACAATAGTAATTCCTCTGATTATGGAGGCAGAAGGAAGAATGAAATAGTTGCTTATTCCTAAGAAATGTAGAGAAGTTCTTCCTGTAAGGCATGCTTCCAGGCAGTTATTTCATCGTGTGAGCAGCTAATGATAAAAATGTCTGTTGCGTAGGATCTAACACATAAATGTGATTCTGTGTTGAAAGCTTCTGAAGCTGAATTGACATCACATTTGTTAATTTTCTCTTTATATACCAAGTGCCACAGTAGCCGTGGTTAGCAGGGAAATGAACATCTACAGACCAGAAGATTATAGTTGCCGAAGGATAAACTGGATTTGACTTCATTAGTGCACAAATGATAAGTTTGTGAGGAGTTATTATAGCATTAATCAACTTGATGGATTGGAAATATGACAGAACTGAAGCAGCGTGTAATATTAGTGCCTATTATTCTACAAATTATGTCTTCACCTACATTCATAAGGCAAGAGTCATTGCTGCACATTAAGGATGTTACACACTTTCTCCTCTTGTGGAGACATGTGACAACCCTTCAGTGATTCCTCCTCCTCTTTTCCCCAGCAGGGCTCTGGTCTCTCTTAGCTGCATGTTTCCATCTTGGAACTAATGGAAGGCAGCATGGGAGCTCGTGCTTGAATTTAGCTTGTGTCTCATGAACCTGGACCTCTTATGTAGCAGTGTGTATTTAAACTTCTTGCTTCATCAGAAATAAATGTTTCATATTCTAGACGTCTTGGAATAGGGAGTATGAGTAGCAATTCTAAAGTATGGGACAGATAGTGAATGGGTATTTAATTATTTGATTTCCAGTGTATTGCACATGTATTTGTACCTCTGGTATTGCTGAACACGATCTGCATTCAGTTCTGAATGCATACTGCAGAATTTGTTTATTTTCTAGGATATGGATAATAACATGTGAATATTAATGGGAAACTGATAGTTTTAAAAGCCAGTCTGTATAGAAATAGTGAAATCATTTACCTTTGATCTGCTTTGCATGCAAAGAACTGAAGACTGGTAAGGCTTGTGAGCATGTGTCTACCTTATCCAAACATGGTCAGAATTGTGACCTCTCTCTGGAGACTGTCAGGTGCCAAGTGCAGGGTGTATTATTAATTTTCTTAAAACTGCTGAAATTTGGAGTTTAAGGTGTACTCATAATGAAGGGTGAGATTGTCATTTGGCTGCTTGTCCTTGTTTCACTTACTCATCACAAACACATATTAGTGCACAGGTATACTGTGAATGAGTGAATGCAAAGGCTTTAAAGTACCCTTGTCCTTTCCTTCCTTCCTTCAAGTTGGGTGTCTGCTCTTGTGTACTAGGACTGTGGGATAAAGACTTGGTGTCATCACTAATAAAATTAGGGTCCACAGATACGGTTCATGAAAATACGTATGTGTTAAGTGGATTGTGGAAGTAAGATTTAAGCTGAAAAGGGCAAAAAAAGATACAAACAATCTTCTACTTGTATTGTAGTTTATAGCATGGATATGGCATGCCTTAGCAGCAGTTTTGGATTTGGTTTTGGATTCTGTGTGCCAAGAAGCTGGTGTGTATGTGATTATATCTCTCTATCATCCATGGCTGCATATAGCTTAGTGCTATATGCACTAAAATCAGACTGGAATTAGAATCTGAATTTCTTGAAACGCACCTATCTCTGTTGTTGGAGAAGGAAAAGCTTGCTTGATTTTCGTGGTCCAGAAATATTTCAGCCATGTGCTTGTGTAAAAAAATAGGCGATTTCCAGTTTAGGCTGGAATCCAAGAATTAGTTTTAAATCTGACATTTCAGTCAGTAGAGGATCAGGCAAAAAGTTTCAGTAGGAATGGGCTCATGCAATTGAAGCTCTCTGTACCCTTTTGGGCATGTAGAAAGGATGTTTTCACTGTCTAGCTGGAGCATTTACAAGATCACTGTAACTTTGTCACTTAGTTGCTTCTGTAAGTATCTCAGAGTCCAGAACCGGTAAGTTTGCTAAAATATAGTAATAGTAATAACATTCTTAATTTCCTCATTCCATTTGCTCCTGCAAGACTTCAGTGGACTTGAAGAAATGTATATTAGATAAATTATTTTAAATGCTTAAGATTGTAGTACTGCAGACACTATCTTAGTTTCTTTTTATTTAAAGATGTAAATGTACGTCCTCAAGAATTTTTACTCCAGGGCAAAACTTCAATGGCGGGGTGTAAAACCAATAGCTGCTACAATAAAACATAAAACATTTTTTCATGACACTTAAATGTGATTAGTTGCTTTCTCATGCCCATACTAGTATCACTGTGATGGGCTCTATGCCTTAATGTTAGAGGCAGTGACCTTCACAAAATGTGTACAGTGTTTTAAGCCTTACATTCTGTGTGACTTCCATAAAGTTAATACTTCATGAGTATCCAAAAGGAATGATAGTTAGAAAATCATGCACTTTTTTAGTTTGAGTTCTAAAGGCAAAGATGCAAAACCTTACTTAAGCCAGTGACATACTTATGCTTGATCCATGCATGGCTATTTATAGACATTATTGATTTAAAAAAATAATTTACATGATTAGCACCTAAATTTTGTTCACAAATGGTAATTTTGGTAGAAAGCAAGGTTTGAACTGATATTTAAAAGCAGATTTTTAATCAGACATTAACAAGGTATGTAATGGATACAAAAAATGTGATGAACAGTACACTAATGCTACCATTAACAGTAAATTGGTACTGATTATTATTTTTGCCTTCCCTCACATTCAAATGGTGTATGATTGATTACATACAATGGTTCTCAACTGGAGGATGTGATTGTCTTTTATTTCCTTGCCTCATTTTTTTAACAACTGCTCAGCTGTTTTGAGCTGATGATTCAGTTTGTTGAATGCGTATTGACATTCCCATTTTAGGGTTGAGCAGTGCATAACTTCAAGCAATAGGCAGCTCTGGTCATCCTGGTGGGCAGAGTTCTGACATGTCCTGGCTCTGTGCGTGTTACATAGGACCTTGAGGACACAACTTTAAAAGGCAAAAAGCTTTTCCATTTCCCCAAAGCATTCTTCACACTTTGTTTGGAGGTTTGTGCCTCTCTTCCTGTGTCTTGCTCTGTTCTCTCCGGAATATTTTGTGTAGTACCTTAATAAATAGTTGCTCTTGGGAGTTGCCAGAATTAGGATGGGAATGTATGCAAGGATATCTTTATGGTGGAGGGAAAATAGCTTCATCAGTTGCTTCGGAATTACAAGGCCACTCTGTAAAATAGCTTGAATTTTAGCTCTTCTCCCAGCATTGCATACTGGGACTTTTTTCTCAGTGATGTCTCCCTGTGAGCAGGAGAGAAGTACAGGAGGAGAGAGTGTCAGTGGGACATTTTTAGGGCAGGTTAAATATTGCATCAGCACCTTTGCTGTCTGAATTCTTGCTCTGGGTAACATTTGTGTTCAGTTAGCATTTGCAAGCAAATTGGTATTCAGCTTGCTTAATTAATTTCTTCTCTTTCCACAGCCGCAGAGCCTTGGCCTGAAAATGCTGCGTTGTACCAGCAACTGAAGGGTAGGTACACCGGTTTTGGCAATTAATAATTACTTTATTTTTAGAAAACACATTAAATATGCACTAAGATAATTAACTGCAAGGAAGCACAGAAACTGTTAAAATAATCTTTTGTGTTTTTTGTTTGGTCAGAGGTTTTAGTTATGCTTGCATCTGCCAATATAAACCAGCTATTCGTGGCCTATAAGGTCCTTGGTTTATTATTGACTCATTATATTGGCTGCTGTAGCCAGTGTAAAATGATGTGGTTGCAGGCACAGTTGGCAGATTTACTGCACCAATAGCTGAGGCAGCAGATTTTTGAAGTCTTGTGGTAAAGTGGGCTCTCAGTAAAAAGGAACTGTTAAAATGTATAGGCTAGGATGGTTCACTCTCCCTTTAGCAGCTCTTCATATATCATCAGATCACATTATGGCCCCCATTTGGGGCTCAGCAGCCTGCTACAGTTGTCAGAAGACTGCAAAGTAATGAAGACTAATAGGTAGCAGCTCTAGTCTTCTAAGCATGGAATTTTTATTGCAGTGAACTTGTCATCTTTCTTTTGTGTGACAGACCTAGACACAGTGTGCAATATTAGCTGCAAGCTGCTTTTATAGGTTTCTGAATACTTTTACTTTTTAGCCAGAGGAGGTATGAAGATACGATTTTATTTAACTTTGATTAGAAGGAGAGTAATTGGCATAAAAGGCTTTTTTTTTTTTTTTGTAGTGTTTTTTATTGAACATTGGTGGTAATATATGATAAGTGCAATTGCATTTGCAGGAGAAAAATTCCTAGTATTTTTTTTACTGTTTTTTAATATTAATATCATAGATTTTCTAGTCCAGCTGCATAATAATTATATATTTGGTCCTTGTTTTATGCTTAAGAAATGCAACCCAGAATGGTTTACAGTTACAGGTCAGTTGCTAAATGGGCACTGTATTTTTTGTAATTGTGTGGTTTATTTGTTTCTTCTTTTTTTTTTTTCTTTCAACAGAGGAACAAATTTTGCTTTCTGACAATGCATCTTCCCTTGCTGTTCAGGTAAAATACCATATTTTCTAAACTAAAGATGTTAATGCAGTTTTATTTTTTGAATTATTATCTAGCTAACGTAACTATATTTAGTGAAAAGATTAATTTAAGAATTATTTCTGCCAAAACCAGTGACTTACTTCCTGCCTATCATTTGCTTTACATTGTTATTGAAGTGCCAGAGCCTAAAGGATTTTAGGGTTTTGAATGTAGAGTGCTGCTCCTTGTATTCCTCTTTATGTTGGTCTCTGTACAGTATCTGCTTGCCTTCCTACTCTGGGAGCTGTGCATGGTTCATAACTTTTGTCACTTGCTATGCATGTTTGTCTCGTAGCATCTTGCATGATGTTTGCCAATCATTTAATTCTCATAGCTAATATTTCCCCAAACTCAGGGCTTATTTGCTTCATGCTGTGAGCATCACCTCTTTCTATGTCTCTGGTAGGTTTTTTTCAGTTTCGTCATGTGTACAGTCTGGAGCTCCAATGTGGTTTTTAGAAATAGTCCATATAATTGACAAACTTGCACTTCTAATTGACTTAATAGCACCTCTGTGGCTGTGAAGTCCATGTAATCTCCATTAACCTGTTAGGTTCAGTAACCCCAAATCTCAAGGGGACGTTTTCCCCATTAGTAGTGAAGGCCTGGCTGTCAGAGTGGTGGGGAGCAGGATGTCTGAAAGATTCCTGTCCTTCAAAGCAATTTTGTGGCTGATTTGCTTAGCAGCGAGTTGCACTGTTCTCCTGCTTCTTGCTTTTTGTGTGTGGTCCAGCTCAGAGAAGCTTCAGCAAGCAGTCTTTGAGGACTGTCCAAAGAGGTCACATCTCATTTACCAAAAATAGGACACTTGGAGATTGTAACTAATGTTACTGGTAGAAAGGTTAGGATCATTTAGTCATGGTAGCTACTTCCAGGATCTCTTAACTTTTTTCCTTACTGTCTGGCACTCTAGGAGATAGCTCTAAGTGTAAATTTGATCACAGCAAGAAGATAGTTTTGTCCTTTGCTGGAAAGAGGAATCATCTCTGATACACCTAAGAAATGGGACAGTGTTTGTTTGTTTGAGTAGTATGCTTTATATTGTGCTTCACAGCAATATTTTTTTCTGTTGCTTACTTGATCTCAGTGTTCCTTTTTACCCCAGCAATGGTATTTTTGGGGGTTCTCATGAATTTTCTTCCTGTCTAGTGATACACGTATGCGTGGCTTGTATTTAAAACACAAATCCCCCTCCAAGTCACCAACAAAATAACCTTAAAATTTCCTTTTCTAATGCATCATTTTTCTTTACTGTTTCTAGTACATTGTTATCCTACACATGTCACTTAGATGATAAATTAACTATAATATATTAAAAATCCTTGTTTTTCTTCAATATTCTCTAGCTGGATAGCTGATAGTAGCCATGACTATAAATATGGCTCTGGTCGATATCTGATCTTAAACTTTATAGAATAATTCTGTATTGGGGAATTGTATCAATTTTTAAGAATCTGTGTAACATGATTGTGATGGTGAAAGAATAGTTATTCTTGGTGTCTGATCCATTTTGAAATGATAGTAGGATATGTGGTGATCAGAGAGGTTTAAATACATCAGTGTGTTTTGTGTAAGAAATTTGCTTTTTGTTTTGATGAGAGCTTGTTTGTCTGGGTTTTTTTGGTTTTTTTTTTAAGGGGGTGGTGGGAGTTGGGGGATGTGTGTCTTTCACAAAATTTGGGAATGAGGGATAGGAGGAGAAATAGGAGCTGCTACCTGGGACTTCTTTCTTACCACGGTCATTCTTTTTCCCTCTGTTATTGATTTGGGGCACATCAATATCACCAGAGCAGATACCTAGCTTGTTTGTGGCTGTTGAACTTCCATCTGGTGAAAACATCAGAAATTTGAGTCAAAAGAGCATGTGGAATCAGCTGTCAGATCTTTAAAGAACATGGTTTAACAGCAAGACTGAATGTGCTGCAGCCAGTCTTTCAGGTATTTTGTAAAATCATCTTGTAACACCTTTTTGTAAAGCTGTTGTCAGGTCTCAGAGGGACATACATGCTGATATGTATGCATAAAATAGCACATACAATCCAGTGCCGTAGTAATTAGAGTAAAACTTGACTGTTTTAAAGTTGCCAACCCTGCAACACAGATGGCATTTCACATACTTCTTGTTAACGGAGCAGATCAAGCAGACAGCAGAGCAAGTTACTCTCACTGCAGATGTAATTAATGAGTAGAGAGGGCTGCAGGTTGAATACAGGAAGTTGGTTGAGTCTTGCTGTTTTAATAATGATTGGACTTCTCATTGTGCAGTAAAATCTGGACTCTTAATAGCCACATGTCAGATGAGAGAAGGGAGGACAGAATCTTCTGGGAATTGCTGAGTAACTGTGCTGGTGCCTTTAGTAGTTAAAAACCAACCAAACACAAAAATCCTTCTCGTCTTGTGGAACTTCTCTGTTGATTCTGGTAGGGTTGTTTATTTTATTTTGTTAGTTTGTTTTTAATTCCTCTTTTGCTCATTGTTTATTTGGTGTCCTGGGGTGACTTTATGATACTGGTATCCCCAATTGTCTGGTTTATGTTATATATTAAGTTCTGCACCTTTAAGACTGGCTTTGAGAGCAAGAGAGGGAGAAGAAGAAGCGCGCAGTTTGTGTTAAGGAAAAACATCACTCCCACACATCCCGCTCCTGGACTGTGGTGTCTGCAGAACGGACAGACAGCGGGACAGAGCTTCTCTCTGGCTTTTTAGTTAGCTTTAGCTAGCTGAGGCAGAGGAGTTTCCTGGACCTTTGTTTTTTTCCTTTTCTTGGATCTGTGCAAACCTGCTTTGGACTGAACACCCAGCCAAACCCCGGGAGCTCACGCCTATGGCCCACCGGGGCCTGGGCCTCGGCACTTTCCAGTGCTGAAAGGACTGATAAGAACCTGAGCGAGCCGAGCTGCACCACATGAAAAGGACTTTTCTTCCTAGACTTGCCATCCCATCGAACAGCAAGAGGTTTTATTATTTAATATTATTCAATTTCTGTTAAATAAATAGCTTTTTCCACTTCTCTCCAAGGAATTTTTTTTTTTCTTTCCCGGACCAGTTGGTGGGTGGGGGCATTTCCCTGGGGAAATCCCCATTTGGAGTTTTCCTCCCTAATTTGCCCTAAACTAGGACATTTGGAAACAGACTTACTTAGCAATTTCTTTGTTTTTTACTGGGTTCAGTTTCTTTGTATTATCTGAAAATACAACATAACTTCAAGTATCAAGTGCATTATCTCTGGTACATATTTGTGTTTGTATTCCTTGTTTGTTAACTTGAAGTAGTGTATTATACAGCCAAGTCCACGTGATGATCTTGGGCTACAAAGCCCTGGTATTGAATGAAATCTTCTTTTCATTTCAAATTAATTGAAATCAAGGGAAAATACTAATCAGTAATGATTATCCAGCTATTGAAAGGAGATTGTAACAGAATGAAGGCTCTGTTCTAGTGAGACACTCAGCCCTCTTCCCATCAATGCTAATGGAAACACACATCCTGGGTAACACGACTCATGGTTAAAACCATGATTTTATTTTACAAACCACATATTTATTATACAGCTACCATTATACAGCATTCCTGCTTATCAGGCTTATCACAGTAAAAAAAGCCACCAAAACCAATACACAAATATATCTCAATAACAAAACAATGCCAAAGCTTTGAGGAGGGAAAAATAGAGTTTGAAGTAGATTAAAACTGAATTACCATAGGAGAGTAAGTATATTTCAGTCTGAAGCCTGTCCAGGCTCTTGTCTCCTTATTGGTGCCTGGTGCAGGTAAAGCCATTTTGTTTAGTGCTGTGGTGCAAATAGTGTGGCCAGGTAGGAGGGAGGGGGTTAATACAGCTGCGCTCTGCCAGGCCTCTTGCCTCAAATGGCAGCTCAAAGCATCTCTTGCACTGTTCCAACTTGTCAGGAAGAGGAATGTGGATGTTGAGACTGCCTCTTTTATTACAGGTTCTTCTGGAATCTTTATGCAGTTAGTCTCATAGTCTTGCTCAAAAGGCTGTCTAAAATGTTCAGAATTCTGGAAATTCTGACAGCCATCCTGAGGTTAGAGAGCCTGCAGCTCATTTTGTTAAGATATGTATTAATTGCTTGTTCAGTCCGTGTCCTTGCAAGTGGTCTTAACATATTCCAGGGAAGTGCTTTTAGAATTGTCTCTTCTTAGCCCTGAATGACAGAAGGAAGTTTGGGCAATTTAAAATTGTGTTACACAGAACAATTTCTTATTTATTTCAACAAGTAATCAAATAAATGTGTAAATCATACATGATTAATTGCCCTTGACAGGTTTGTGATTTTTTTTTCTCTGTGTCTGTGTGTGTATGAATTGTGGTTTGGTTTTTCCTCTAGACAAAACATTAACAGAAATTTGAACTTGTTGCTGAGTCCTAAACAAAAGCTTGGTACTGAAATGAAAATCTGCCAATCCCTTTATTTTAAAGAGAATAAAAGCTGGAATTCTTCATGATGAGAAATGCAGTATCAACGTAATCAATCTAGCAGCATTGTGTTGTTGCTGAAAACATGCTTAAATCCCAAGCTATACAGGTACTGTTTGTGAGTGAAACATATTTCATATAGTTCTAAGATGAAATTACCTCTGAATGAATAGAATCTTCATTTATCTTCAAAACCTCTGTGCTACCAGTGAATCTACTCTTTCTACATTTTACAACAAGAATTACATTATACCATTAGAGCAGTGCCATGATGCAGTATAAAATAGATTGTTTTGGAGAATGAACGTGGCTTTGCTATAAATTACATTCACAGGTACAGAGGAATTTGTTATTTTGTTTAAAATAGTCACAAATATAATTAAGATCTTAATTTATGTTAAACTACACATGTGGCCATTACCATAACTGGATTAGGAATTTAATCTGTCACTCAAGCAATGATACTGAACAGTTTTCATTTATAACCTTAGACACGCTATTTCAGTTACAGGGACTGCAGCTGTTTGATAG